GAGGAGGATCATTTAATTTTATGGGGAGAGAACAGGAACCAGGACGGGGGGCTCGGCCTGGGGCTGGGGAGCGGCCTGGCTGCAGGCGGCGGGGGGCCAGGAGCACGTGCCACCATCACCTCCCGGGCCTCCCATCTGCCGCCGCCAGCGTGCTGGAGTGTGTGAGGCCGCGGGGTGAGCAGGGCTACAATATTTTTCTGACACTAACACCTCTCTCTGGCCCTCAGGAAGGGCGGTGGAGGAGCCAGGCCCCGCCAAATACCGCCCACAGCCTGCTCTCTGCCTCCTGGCGCCAGACCCCAGAGGCCTGCAGCTAAGGCAGCAGCTACGGGGAAGGTGAGAGGAGAGGGGAGGAGGGAAGGGAGGAGAGAGAGGAGGGGAGGAGCCCCCATTTGACTTGCTGTTCCAAGGGAAGTAGAAGTGGTCCTGGAGGTCACAGGAAGCTGGGCTCAGGGACCTTGGAGGTCACAGTGTGCGATGAACCCTTCCATGTAATTCCAACAAGACAGGTGGAATGGAAGCTATTTGCCTTGGTGGCACAGAGGGGAGGCCGCCCTGCACTTGGGGCCTTCCCATCAACAGGGGGGGCTCTGATTGGATGCTAACAGCTTGGATACAAGGGAGGAGGCAAGATCCTGAGACATGGCCCAACAAGGGGTGCCGAGGGAGAGGCCCCAAGAGGTCCCTGAGCAGGGCGTGTGGGCCTGAGCCTGGAAGGATGTGGGGGTGCACCATGTAGGAGATGGCCCCTTGCCCAGGGGACAGAGGAACCAAGGCGGGTAAGAGCCCCTTCCTCCCCCTTCTCACCTGCTACATGGAAAAGAAGGGGAGAGATAAAGACAGGGTGGAAGGGAAAGAGGAGACAAGTTAGGAAAGGAGGGGGGAGGGGAGGTGTGGAGGGAGAAGAGAGGAGGCTGATTCTCAGCTCATCACCTCTGAAATAACAAGTTTACGCCCTGATGTGTTTAAAATCCCACCTGCATTAAAGTCCAAGTCATACTGTAATATCTGGGCTGCAGTTTCTTGACTTTGCTTCTCCAGATCCTAATAACCCCAGAGCAAAGAGGAGGCACCCCTCCTCCCCATCGCCTTTCTGTCAAGGGGGGAAATCCTGGAAGGGACCCCGAGCCCCTGCAAGGCCTACCAGACGGCACAGTTTAAAACTCCTCAAGGCCCGTGGGGCTCGGGCCTCCCTCGCACTGTCCACCCTCTGTTTTCCCATCAGTCTGCCTCTCCCCTCACAACCCTTCTTCTCCCTCTCGGGTTACACTCTCCAGAGATGAGGATCAAAGAACAAAATCCTGGGGAAATGGATCAAATCTGGCTTGAATTTCCCCAAGTCAGAGCTCATGGGTTTCCTCTTAGAAATGAAAGGGAAAGGGGAAGAAGTCAAACCAGAAACCCCTGAGCTTAGGTGGCTGACTTTATCTCAATACTCTGATCTCTCTGGGTTCCTCACACCGCCCCCACCCCCACCCATGCCTGGAGGCCAGGTCATTGAAGAGTGGGGGACAGACACCCAGACAATTTAGAAATCGGGCTTAGAATGTAGTTGCTTTGCCACCTTTAGATTTCAAGGACCCAATGTCCATTCATTCATTCATTCATTCATTCATCCAATAAATAGTTAGCAAGCACCTACTATGTGCCAGGCTGAAGCGACAGCAAGTAACAAAACAGAGGTGCCTGCCCTTGTCGAGCCTATGTTCTTCCCACTAGGAACGGACAGTAAATGATAAACATGATAAATAAGAATTACATCATGTGTTCAGGGGGAATAGGAATATGGGAAAAAGACAAAAGAGAAGTCAGGAGGAGGCTGGGAGTGGAAGGGGACAGGAAGCTCAATGGGGAAGGTGACATTTGAGCAAACACTGGAAGAAGGTGGAAGAGCAACTTTCTGGGGAGCAGAGGCCGCAGGCGAGTATGCCAGCACGTCAAGGTGAATGTCAGCAGTCTCCTTGGCCGCCGTCAGCACCTGGGTTATCACTCTTATTGAGCGAGGCAGGATGCTTTGAGGGATCTGCTCAGGGCAGCAGCATGTTCTGACTTTAGGTTTTAAAAGGACCGCACCCTGAATGCAATGACCAGGTCTGTTTCTACACACAGAATTTTAGAATTGGACAGAACCTCACAGAGACCCCCACCCACCCCCATTTGGCAGATGAAGACACTGAGGCCCAGAGAAGGATGTGACCAGGTCACATGCCCCTGGAGGGGTGAGTCAGCCTCCAGCTCACATCTTCCAACCTGGCTGCACTTCATGGGGTGCCGGGCCGCAGGTGACCCCCTGAGGACTCTTACTAGCAGGTCTCTAAAACTGTCCTCTGATCAGATCTCCTTGCCACTGGGGGGGCTGGAAAGCCCAGTGGCTGAGATTACCGTTATTTTCAATCTTTCTGATCCAAATGGTCTTTTTGAATCTGGGGTTCAGAAAAAGGGACAGCCAGATGATGTAAGGGGAAGAGGGTATGATGGCCAGGTGACACTTCACACCCTAGGCCTCTCCCTGCCCTGCCCTGCCCTTCCCCATCTGGTACCTCAGGCTCCCCCACAGTGCTGTACCCCAGTTCTTTCTTGCCAAGCCAGTCCTCTTTCCAGAGGGGCTAGCAGGGAGAGGGTGGGGTTAAGGATGCAAAAGCAGCTTGGCCTTTGCTGAGCACTGGCCAGTGACCTGGCCCTCCCAGGTGGCAGTAACCTACCATAACTGCTGGCCTGGCTTGGTGTGACTCGGCTGGTGATACCTTTTCCCACCTTCCTCTTCTCTTACAAAATTGTGTTCAGTCTTTAAAGCCTTTTCTGGGAAGGCTTCTCCTAATTTCAGTACAGTAGCCTCCCTATATCCAAGGGGGATACTTCCAAGACCCCCAGTGGACACCTGAAACCATGGATAGCAGTGAAGCCTACATGTACTATGATTTTTTTCCTCATATATACTTAGTGGGTTGAAGTTTAATGTATAAATCAGGCACAGTATGAGTTTGACAACAGTAACTAATAATAAATAGAACATTTGTAACAATATACTACGGTAATAAAAGTTAGTTGAATGTGGTCTCTCTCTCTCTCTCTCCATCAAAATATTTTATGACACTGTACTCATCCATCTTCTAGTGATGTGAGGATAAAATGGCTACATGAGGAAATGAAGTGAGGTGAATGACAGGCACTGTGACACGGCATTAGGCTGCCACTGGGCTTCTGATAATAAGTCAGAAGGAGGATCATCTACTTCCAGACCACAGTTCAGTGCGGATAACAGGCCGTGGAAAGCAAAACCACAGATTGCGTGCTCACACCTATTTTCACTTACTTTATGTTATGGGTAATCGTTCCCAGACCAGTCCCTTCCACTGAGATCATAGCCCTTTGAGGGCAAGGATGGTTCAATTTCTCTTTGGAGCATCCTTGGCACCCAACGCATAGCTTGACACATTGTAGATCCTTAAATTTGTTTGTTGAACGGAATTCAGAGGAAGAGTTACAATACTAGAAGTTTACCAGGACAGGGTGAGGGGGCTTACTGGTCAGGAGCCCAAAACTCATCTCCTCTCCCTGCTGAGACTGTGCCTGATCCCTGCATCTCTGAACTATCCAACTTCCCTTCTGGCACTCAGCAGCTTGTGGGAGGAGAGACACAGTTAGAGCAGGATGGGGAGGCATTTCTCTTTTTGAGTAACTTTGACACAACGGCAGCTAGCAGAGTAGAGAGAAAACATGGTGTCTGAGAAAAGCCTTGAGTAAAGGCCTGCATGGTGGTTAATTTCTGTCAACTTGACTGGTCATGGGTGCCAGGTAAAACATCATTTCTGGATGTTTCCAGATGAGACCAGCATTTGAATTGGTGGACTCAGTCGAGCAGATTGCCCTCCCCAGTGGGAGTGAGCCTCATCCAATCAGTTGAGGGCCCAAATAGAGCAAAAGGCAGAGGGATTTGCTTTTTGCTTCCTGCCTGCCTGTGGAGTTGGGACATAGTGTCTCCTCTTCTCCAGCCCTCAAACTTCTATTTATACCATTGGCTCCTCTGGTTCTTGGGCCTTCTGACTCAGACCGAATTACACCACCCACTTTCCTGGGTCTCCAGCCTGAAGAAGCAGATCGTGGGACTTCTCAGCCTCCACAACCATGTAAGCCAATACCTCATAATAAATCTTTTTATATACATATATATCCCCCTGGTTCTGTTTCTCTGGAGAACTCTTTATAGCCTGTCTCCACCTAATTGGCCACAGGTCTTTATGAGGCTCTGCTGTGAATTTCATTCTATTCGGCTCTGAAGTAGGGACAATGATCTCCTCCCCTACACTCACTACAAAGAGGACGGTATTCATTCGTGTAGCAAGTGTTTATTAAGCACCTGGTAAGTGTCAAGCTCTGTGCGGCACACACGGGATCCAGTCTGTTGGCAAGGTGCTTTGGGCTCCTTTGGAGGAAACATCAGTTGAATTCCCAGTTTTAGCAAATAACCAGCTCCCAAAGATGCAGTGCCATCTGGGTCACTGGGATGGGGAACTACTTCCTGCGGCGTGATCTGGGGCCTCAGACCCAGGGGGAGGATGAGCACCTTGACAAGGTGTGTTCTCTCCTCACAAATGCTTTGAGAAGTGGGTTGGGGGCTCCTCACCTGAGAAGGTCTGGGTTCATTGGCTCAGATGCCTTTGCCTGACCCCAGCCTGACTCAGAGGAGAGGAAGGCAAAGAGGCAAAAGGCCTGTCCTAGGAATCAGGAGACTAAGTGCTCAAATGCCTCTCTGGCTGATGAGCCGTACAGTCCTTAATGCTTTCTCAGCCTCCGGCAGCTCATCTGTGAAATGGATACACATCTTGCAGATTGCACTAATTTGTAGAGATGCATGAATTAAAAGACCTTTCAAAGCATGAAGTTCAACATAGGAAGCAATCAATGGGGAGACTCCCCAACCCCCGCCCTGGGACAATGCCGAGGTTGGGTAGGGAAGCAGGGCAGGTCTTGTACTGCAAGATGAAGCCAGAAGCACTCACCATCCTCACACAGGTTCAGCTTGGACAGGCTCCTGCCATCAAAGGGCTCCTCAAAGATGGAGCTGGTGTCACGATCACTCACAGTGTGCAGGTACATGGCTTTGTTCTCCATTCTGACCTGCAGCAGAAAGAACAGCAAGGGGAGAGGAGAGGGAGAAAGGAGGCAGGGGAGAGAGAGAGAATAAACTATAGGTGGACACAGAACTGAATGGGCAGAACAAGGCGCCCATCCCCAAGCCCTGGAGCCTGAACACTGGTAGCCCCTCATGGACAGGTGCCAGCCACCAGGTCCTCGGGATCCTGTCTTGCCTCCCAACCTCCTCGGTGCTTGGGAAGGCCAAGGCCCTTTGGACCTTTCTGATGACAGGATGGGTCCATTCATTCCAACGGCCCTTGGTTGGGGCCAGAGCCTGAGCCAGAAGGGCCCCGAGGGTGATGCTTGGTGGGGCCTGGAGAAGCTGGTCCTCCTCACCCCAATGGAGTGACTTCCTGGCCTCTGGAGCTTTGCACATATTAAAGAGACTTGGGCTCTTGCTCTGTGTTGGAAGCGTGCTGCCTGGAGTTGGGTGCTGTGGGACCAAAGCAGGGATCCGTCTCTCACCAGAACCAGAGGAACAGGCAGCCGCAATGGAGTCCCCCAGACATTAAGACCTGGGCAGCCCTAGGCCAGGCGAGGGGCCCATGTCTACAAGGCCTCCTGAGGCTGGATCGCTGGGGCTCTGGGTCTTCCCCGTGGTTTTCCAGGAATGCACCCATTTACTCGGGGAAAGGGCATGCCATTTGAAGTAAACCAGCGCCATTTACGGAAGTGCGTACCTCTCTCTCCCATTTTGTAATATACACACGTGCCCTGAGTACGTTACAGGAAAGATTATATTTGGAGATGTTCTGGGTTGCTCTGGATCAGAAGACTCTGGTGGGGATTGTAGGGATTTTGTGCTTATTTTTGTTTGCCGGATATTCTGGGTTTTCTACAGTGAGTTTGCATTCTTCGTGTAATAAGAAAAATCTACTTTTTCAGCCAAATTACAAAGTATTTATTTACATAAAACACTTGCTATTCCCTTTCTTACATATATGCTCAGTGATTTTACAAATTACGTTCTAATTTCAGCTCCGTTCCAGCCATAAGGTTAGCTTGACCTTTGGCCCTGGTGCTCTTGGACCGTCTGGATATTGAACCAAAAAATCCACTTTTAGAGAGCAAATTCTTCAGAAGATAAAAGCCCCTGGGAAGATGGATGGGTCGCAGGCCAGGCATGAAGCAAACTCAACTCTGAGGCCTGGAGAGCTGAGGCAGGGGTCTAGCACCTGGGAGGACATGACAGGGGCCTGGCAGGTGGCATGGGGGCACCTTCCAGGTGAGCAGCCAATCAATTTCTCTTCGGAGGCAGACTGGGAAGGGAGGCATCAGCATCGGGTCAATAGATATGGATAATGAAAGAGGAGCCCGGATGAACCGTCCCAGCAGACAGAGCAAAACACAAACCCTTTATATTCATGGCTTGACCTTGGTCTCCAGAGACCTCTGACTTCAGGGCTGAGAAGACGTCAGAACTGGCCAGTTGCTACACAACTGTCCTTCTGATGTCCCTCCCTGCTGCTCTTGTCTCTCCAGCAATGAAATGCCACATGCCCTGCACACAGGTGAACACGTGTGCATGCGTGCGCACACACACACACACACACACACACACACACACGCATGTGTGCACATATGGGCAGGGTGTTCACAGCCTCTGCAGGCTTTTCTTCCAGCCTGCAGGAGGAGGGGGCCAGAGGGCAGCCCACAGCTCTGCCAGGATCTCAACCCCCTCTGCCCCAGGAGTTCCTTGGAGCCCCCAAACTGCTCCCAGCCAGCTTCTCTGTGCTGCAGTTATGTCTGATTTGCTAACGTCGCAACACCATGCTCCATCCAAGTCCTCCACCCACTGTGGGCCTCTAGGTGGGGCCCCGGAGCAACTCCACTGCTGCTGAGCTGCAGGGGACCCTCCCTTGTTTCATAAGCACTGAGTGCAGCATCCCTCCCTCTGGCCTCCATCCTGGGGAGCTGCAAAGCAGGAGGCCAGTGTCTCTTCTGCAAGCCATAATCCTCTCTCTGCCAAAGGCAACAGGCGCTGTGTGACCTCTGGGCAACACTCGATGGGGTGCCGCCATGCTGACCATGGGGCTGTGGAGATGAGCTCAGGCCAGGTTAGCCCCGACTTCATTTCCACCTTCCCCACTGCCAGTCCACCTCCTGGATCAGAGCTGGAACACATGGCTTGTTATCTGGAATGTGTCTATAGGGTGGCCCCTCCTTTACCCCCTCCCCACCCCAGGGCTGGTGGAACAGGAGCCCTGGGGAGCCTGTTGAGAAGAGGGGCTGGGGTGGAGCAGAGGCCAGATGTGAGATGAGGTTGGAAATGCTCAGCCAGCTCCGTTAATGTTTGTTACTTGGGAAGGAAACCTAAGAATGTTCTGACTGCCCCAGGTTTTATTTTCAGCTATTTTTCCTTCTTGGGAAACGGGGGGCAGGAATTTGAACCCTTCAATCATTGGTCTCATAGCCTTTGGGGCTAAGTTTGTGCTCTCAAGCACAGTGCATCTCACTGCCAAGTATGGTGGTAATAGAATTGATATGCACCCCTTGCGTGTGTACACACCCCATGAGCTACAGACCATTTGCCATCTAGGATCTCTCTGCCCTCGCAGGACCACTGTGAGGGGGGCAGAGGACATTAGTGTGTTGTTCCCACTTTAGACATAAGCCAATCTAGGCCCACAAAGGCAAGAGCCAATGGTGTCAGTGAGACAAGCGTGAGGCACCAGGCAAGGGCTTCCCACCCAGGACACTGACCCTACCACAAGGCTGCTTTGTCCAGGAAGTATGTATTCATCCATCACGGTAGCTACCTTTAGAGTCACAACCAGGCAATGAAGAGGGTCAGTGGAGGCCCTGGGGCCAAGCAGAGGCTCCAAGAGCTAGAAGGGAGGGGACCAAAATCATGGAAACATGAGCAGGGTGTGGAGGCCAAAATGACATAAGGATAAAGCCCGAGGAACTTGGAATTTTGTGTTCAAGTCAAAGAATGAGGCCTTCCTCCCCCAGGGACAGGACATACTGGCCTCTTAGGGATGTCTGGATGCTACGTTTTAGAGCTGAAGCATTCAGGCATCCTGCTCTACCCCAGGAAGCTCCATGCAGGCCTGTGGCAGGTGGGGAGCTCAGGCGACATGGGATCCTGTCCTGGGGCCATTTCCTACTACTCGGGATCCTGGCCCAATCAGCTGAGCTTGTTCAGCCTCAGGTCATCACCTCTATGAGGGAGAGAAGCACATCTGCCAGCCACTCAGTTATTTCAAGGCTCCAGTAGAACAGTGCACATGGAAGGTCTTTAGGAGCAGGGGCAGCCAGAGAGCTGGTAGTGGAGTCTGGAGAGAAACAACCCCTACCCCCCTACCCCGCATCTTCAGATCCTACCAAGCAGTTAGGTGAGGGGCGCGGGGCTCCGTCTCTAGGTTCCTGAAGTTTCCCTCAGGCCCGGAAACAATGCTCTTTGGGGTTCCCTTTGCAAAAAAGCAACTGTGAATACAGACCAGAGCCAAATCCCAACCCTTGCTTGAAGGGTTGCCTCTCACTGCCTGTCACTCTCTGGGCAGCAGAAGGACTCAATTGATCCTTCCTGCTGAAGGGGCATGAGCCTCACCTGTTGCTGCGAAGACCGGTGTGTCTGGGTCCCAGCATCTAACTCTGCAGGGCTCGCACCTTCTCTTTGAATCGTGAAGCTTATGGAAATCGAGTCCAAAGCACCATGAATACGGCCCTGTCCCGAGGGCCCCCTCCTCTAACTGTACTTAGTTCACTCAAATTATAACCCAAAGCTGGAAAGGTGCAGATGTTTTATAAATAAGCTCTCCCTTCATACATTCCACCACTGACATGCACATGTGCACACGCATCATGCACCTAGAGGGACAATCACTTGTACTATCCGCTCCCAGAATAGGCTCCCGAGCTGCAACACGAGTTGCCATGAGGCAAGAGCTTCCCCAAAAGCGGGCTCACGCCAGCTCGATGCCCCCCGACCCCCGCAGAGACCCACCGCAGGGACCTCCCCACCTGGCGCTGCACCTCGGCGCTCTGCATCCTGAGATGCCCAAATGCAGGGCCCTGCTCCCTCGGCCCCCTCTGCGTCCCCCAGCTGCCTCTGGGGCACTCTGCTCAGGTGCAGGGACGGAGTTAGTGCAGGACTCACCTGAGTGTCCCCACTGAGTCGCCAGAAGTACCTGTCTTCTCAGCTCCCCGCATTCGCCGTGGTGCCCGAGGAGCCGCCTGCTGTCACCGCAAGGAGACCCAGGCTGCCCCGCAGAGCTCGTCCCCTCGGCCAGACCAAGTCATAGACGGAGGCCGCCCCCTGCTCAGTGACTGGTCTCAGGGGTCACTTCTCCAGGAGGGTCAGGTCAGCAGCAAGACTGCACCCTGACCCCGACCCAGGCCTGCGGCCGGGGAGCCCCTGTCTTGGTGCCTGGCCTCAGTCGGCCGCGGGCAGCGCTCAGGACATGCTCCGGGCAGGCACCAGCGGCTCCGCTAGCACCGACTGCGTCCTGAACTGCAGCTGCTCTGGCCGCCAGGCTTTATAAATATAAAGTTCTTGGAGCAATTGCTGGAGCTCCCTTGGGGTCTGGAACACATCCCCCCTCTGGTGGCCAATCTCAGCATTACAGACCCCCCCCCCACCCCCTTCTCCCGCCCAGTCCGGAGCCGAGAAGTCAGCCTTGCCCTGGGACCCCACACACCTCATCTAAAACCCCACGCAAAATAAGTTTTGGAAACTTCTGCAGGAATGACCGCTGGACCTGGCTCACGGGCCACCCGAGAAACCAGTCTCAGAAACTTATTTATAGGACAGAATTTGCATTGCTCAATTCATTCACCAAACTTGGCTTAGAATTAATTTACGCGTTTTTCTGAAGTCACATCCACCCGCAGAGGACACAGATTTGGCCACGCTGGAGAGGTTCAGAAGAGCGTTCCGTGAGCACTGAGGGAACCTCCCCAAGACAGTGTCAAAGCGACTCGGGAAGGCGGGAAGCAGTGATGGAGCGTTGGCACTGCACCAGGGCCGGGGGCATACAGAGATGGGGAGACGGGCTCCCTGACCTCAAGGGGGCTGCAATCCAGGATGAGAGGTGCACTCAGGCACAAATAACTGAAAACCTAAGGGTCATCGAACACATCTTCAATTGCGATCTCGCCAAAATATTAAGAGAGTAATTACATTCAGACTGGGGAAAGGCGTGGGGATGATTCAAAAAATAGCTGGAGCCAGTGGCCGGCACTGTCAGTGTGCAAGCACGCCCCCTGCCCACGAAGACACACCCACTGACTGGTTAAAAACTCAGATTCAATGCTAGAGGGTCAGACCTCGTACAAGACAACAGTTTGCCAGGGCTCAGCATCTCCCCACAGCGCAGGTGCCAACCCACAACTGAGTCAGAAAGGTCTTGCAAACATTATATGGTCTCATTCTTTTGGGGAATATAAAAAATAGTGAAAGGGAATAAAGGGGAAAGGAGGAAAAATGAGTGGGAAATATCAGAAAGGGAGACAGAACATGAGAGACTCCTAACTCTGGGAAACGAACTAGGGGTGGTGGAAGGGGAGGAGGGCAGGAGGTGGGGGTGACTGGGTGACTGAGGGGGGCACTTGACGGGATGAGCACTGGGTGTTATTCTGTATGTTGGCAAATTGAAAACCAATAAAAAATACATTTATAAAATTAAAAAAAAAAAGAAAGGTCTTAGTCATGTTCAGAGACTGAGCCTCCTGACCATCTCTGGAAGCAGTTCTAGTATGAGGCTCCATTTCACAGAGGGAAGACGCAGTAGTAGTCATAGTAATAATAAAATAATAATAATAGCAGCAAGGAGGAGATGAGGTGGAGAAGCAGGGAGGAGGAGCGGGAGGAGGGTGGGAGGAGGAGGCAGGGAGAAGCAGGAAGTGGAGGAAAAACACTTTCTAGTCTATACTGTGTGCTAGGTGATTCCGAGTGCTTTTCATATATTAAGTCACATTGACAGCCCTGTGAGGTTGGTCCTATTACTATTCCCATTTTATAGAGACAGAGGCTTTTTAGTAACTTGTCCAAGGTCAAGCAGCCTGTAAGCAACGGAGCTAGATTCCACCCTAGGCAATAGGATGCTACACTGTGCCCTAACCGGGCCCCTACACTGCCTCTCATGAAAAAGTGTTCTTTAATCACCCATCAATTCACCAACAATCCTCGGAATACAATCTTAAAAATAGCCAGAGTCGGGCTCAACGTGTTCTGTCCGGGAGTCTTTGTTGCAGAGATGTGTATATTAGCAAGAAATGCCAGTGGGTTAATAAAACCCTGGTGATGTCCTCCTTCACCCAATACAAAGGACGTTTTCTAATACTCCCACACTGGTGTGCCCTTGCCTGGAGGGGAAGGGAAGGAGGGGGACCCAAATGCAGTCCAGGCTATTGGCTGAGCCTCTCCTTACCATTGATAATTAATGATACACAAATGGCAGAGTCTAGTGTCTGCACATGAGACCCACACGTAGGCATAGAACTGTTAAAACTGTAACATTTCAGGAGAAACAAAGCTTATCCTTTTAAAACCCATAGCTTCAGACAAAGGATCATTTCTCTCTCTTGTTTCTGGTTCACCTCACTTCTTATAAGATTGGTCGTATTGCTGCATGTAGCAGTCATTCCTTCTTTGATTTTTATTTTGTGCCGAGTGACGTTCCGTTATATGCATTTACTGCAATTTGTTTATTCACCTGTTGGAGGGCATTCGGGCTGTTGCCAATCTTTGTCTGTTATGAGTAGAGCCTCCCAAACAGATAAGGGCACATTTGATAGCAAAGTCTAGGAACGACCCGGAGGCCAGGTTTTCTAGGGGATGAGAGTCCTTCAGGCAGCTGGGAGCTCAGATGGCACCTCCTTGTCACCTAAAACCAGAAGGGTCCAAAAAATGGTTTGTTTCCGTTCAATCGCAGAAGGCATTTGTCATAGGTGTTTCTCCCCAGGTGGTATTATGAAAATGCGGTTGTGTTGAAGGAGAGTTGGACAGACTTCCAAAGTAGCTCATCTATGGATGTGGAAGCAGGTCGGGCACACCTGAACACAGCCCGTGTGCTCAAGTGCTTCCTGCTTTCTTTGAATGATTTCTTTTGACTGCCCCAGTGACTCTGTAGGGTGCCGCTGGGGAGGCAGTTATCATCCCCAGTCTCTGTATGGAGAAATTGAGCAACACCGAAACCAAACGTCACGATGCTGGGCTCCGGGACACAATACCTACAACTGTCCTCTGCTTCCAGAGAACATCTACACCTGCAGGGATGCCCTCCATACATTCAGTTATTCATTCAACAGACATCTGTTGTGTACCTTTATGCACTATATTCCAAATCTTCTTGCAAACATGAATTAGATCCAGCCCGCATCCTTCGGGATCTGGCCCAGGGGGAGAGGAGGCACCAGGGTGGGGAATCATAGCCCGGCACCCCTCAAAGGGCTCCTTGTGGCTTCATGTACAGCTTTTGCTGGATGAATTGCAAACCTTCATCCTCAGCCTTGACTTTGTTTCCTGCCCCCAACAAGAATCTTTCTAAAAAGTCTAACATACCTAAGGAGAAAAGCACAAACTGTTACTACCCACTTGTACATTGCTCACCAACTGCATAGGCCTGATGAACCACATCTGGATCTGGGTCACAAGCAGAATATTAGAGGCACCCCAGAAGCTCTCCTTGTGCCCCTTCTGGTCCATAATCCTCCCAACCACCAGGTAATCACTATGTCACATGCCATCACCTTGGATGATTTTGCCTGTTCTTGAATTTCATAGAGATGGAACCACGACCGTGTGTCTGGCTTCGGCATCATGTGAGTGAGATTATTCCCTTTCCTTGGGTTTAGCAGTTCGTTTCTTCTTGTGGCTCTAAGTAGTCCATTGTGTGAATTGACCACAATTAATCTGTCCTTTCCCCTGTTGATGGGCAATTGGGTAGTTTTTGGTTTTTGACCATTACAAAGAGTCCTGCTGTGAACATTCCCGAGCACACCTTCTGGTGAACGTACAGGTGCATTTCTCTCGGGGGCATCCCTTGGAAGGGATTTGCCAGGTAATAGGGTGACATGCTGTTCAGCTTGAGCAGATAATGCCTGTGAATTTTCCAGAGTGGTTGTACTGGGTACTGGTTCATCCTCCCGCCTGCACCATGTGGGAGTTCCAGCAGCTCATCACCCTCCTCTGTGTTAGTAACTTCATCTTGAATATTTTATCCATCCTGGTGGGTATGGAGCATCATCATACTATGGTTTTAAGGTGCATTGTCCTGATGACTAATGAAGTCAAACACCTTCGATTAGTCACTTGCTAAGTCATTCTAATATTTTTTATCTGAAGTCTGAGTCTGTAATTCTCACTCTCTGTGTGTCTCCATTGACCCCAGCAGGTCCCTGCATGATGGATTCGTGTGGACAGTTCCATGGGCCTGGAATGGCTCCCCCAGGTGTTTGCAAGACTAATTCCTTTGCATCCTTCCAACCATTTCTCCAATGTCACCTTCTCCACAAAGCTAACCCTAATAATGATCCAGTTTCAAATTGCTATCTACACGTCTCCCCCACCCACACACCTGACTCTCCTTACCTTGCTCTACTTTCTCTTTTCCATCGCCCTCATTGACTTAACTTACTATGTAAATCACTCTGCTCATCAGTGATGACTCATGTACTGCTTACAATCTGTAGAATGTCAGCTCCAGAAGGTAGCTCACGTATGCCTCCCAAACACCTAGAACAGTGCCCGGCACATAGTAAGTCCTCAACAAGTATTTGTTGGATAAAGATGTGGGGAAAGTACATTCTAGGTACTGGGAACAAGGAAGTTCTAAGACCCTAGGATGGAAACAAAGTGGACATGATGGAGGGGCAGAAAGGAAGCCCATGTGGCTGGAGCACAGGAAATGCAGTGAGCCAAGAGATGAAGGCAAAAAGCAGGGAGACCTGAATCTTCTTTTTTTCCTCTCAAAGATTGTATTTATTTATTTAAGAGAGGGAGAGCACAAGCATGGGGAGCAGCAGACTACCCACTGAGCAGGGAGCCCCACATGGGGGCTCGATCCCAGGAAAGACCCTGAGATCATGACTTAACCATTTGAGCCACCCAGGCACCTGGGGCTTGGATCTTATTCTGGGTAGAGCTAGAAACTAGAAACTGCTGCTCTTTCTATATGTCTCCCTCTTCTCCCCGGGAGCACAAAGGTCTATAGTGCATATTTATAACTTTTTAAATTATATCTTCCCTATAATTTTCTAGTTCTTTAATTAAAAATTTTTTAATTGTACTAACATACACATAACATCTTAACCATGTTTTAGTGTACGGTTTAGAAGCACATTCATACTGTTGTGCAACCATCTCCCACCTCCAGAATTCTTCATCTTGTAAAACCACAGCTCCATGCCCACTGGACACTAACACCCCATTTTCCCCACCTCCTGACCCCTGGCAGCCCCCACTCTATTTTCTGTCTCTACAAATTTGACTGTCTAGTCACAATGCTGTTGCTTCATTTGTGGCCTGCTCTACAA